CTTTGGGAACGAGTGAATGGCTCAGCTGCTTCCCCACTGATATTATAATAATGATAAAAACATGGAGTGGAAAAAGTGGGTGCGACAGGTGGTGCAGGTCTCTGAGGATAACGTTGGTTTTCGATTCAGAATAGGAATGCCACTACGAAGCCGGCAGAAATTTTTCTTTCGTTTCCCGAGCAGTAGGGTAGAGCGCCGGCGCTGACGACGGCCCGCCGGATGCTGGGGGTAACCAGCAAACCCGCGTGCGCCCGTGCGTGCTCTGCGTTTCAAACACGACCTCCTGAGAGGAGCCGTCACCTTTCTCTGCGTGCAGGTACGGGGTCTGGGGAGGCTTTGAACTCCCACGTTTGCCTACCCTGGGCTTCTGGCAGCAGATTTTTTAAGCAGCTGTCTCATGGCCGGTGCGTGGCCGCCGTGCTGGGCACAGGGACGTCGCCTTGACTGCCGCGCTGGACTCCTCTCGTCCCAGCGCTGCACCGCGTTACGCAGCGGAACCCCTTTCTGGACGTGCCACGGTGGGGGCTGACAGTTTCTTCTCCTGCTTTCTAGGTCACAAGCTTCTTGTATGCTAGTGTAAGCAGATCTTAGGAAACCCTTGTTGTGATTCATCTAGTTGCCGGTTTTGTTTTGTTTGTCCCTTTTTAATCCTGCAACGCTATTTCAAAGCCAAAGGCTGTTTCACCAGCGCGCACTCTCGCGGCGTGCAACAGTGGAAATGAGTTTTGCAGAAGGAAAGACTGCGCGTATGATCTAAGGAAGGTCCTGCCAATGTTTTCAAGCAAGACATCGCCGCTTGTTTAGCAATCCTTAAAGAGCAGCCATGCTCATTTTGCGTGCAGGACAGGGAACGGCAATTTTCATGGCGATCCAGAGGAGGTGGCACTGTGCTTTACTTCTGCACTTGCTACTTCTGATGGCAGTGGGAATTTGTCTGGAGGTACATCTATCAGTGGGGCGACTGCTACCATGGTGGTTTTCTGCAGCTGAGTATTTAAATAGGGTCCAAATTGTAAAGCCAGGGTTGAATTGCTAGTGGGCGGCTGAGCCGAAGCCAGCTCGTTTGAAGCTTGGGGATCGGTGTGTGAACTGCAGTCACACCTCAGGGTTGCAGTCAAGATGTAATCACAGAGACCTCAGAATAAACTTCTCTCCACCTCATCTTTTCACATGTCTCCGAACAGGCAGGTGTGTGCACCACTCCTATGTCTCCTTCACGTGTTATTTGAAGCAGGTTGAGCATGGCTGCAGGCATGAGGAAGGGCTCGGTGGCAGGAAGGCGGCTGGTCCCTGTAGTGGCTGGGAGGCCAGGGCTTGGCTAGCCCAGCTCAGTTACCTCCACCTGAGGGAGCCGGTCCTGGAAGAACCAGGGAGCACAGCCTGGGAAGGAACATGCCTTCATAAGGAGGAGAGATCGGTAGTAACAGGTGATGGAAGAAGAAGAGGTGTGGGTACGGAGTCCGCTGTGGCTCTTTGGGAGCCATGAGAGTGTGTGACGGGGCTCTCCTCCACCTCCCTTGGGGCTTCCCCAGAGAGTGGAGGAGGGATGGTGCTGGGGACACGCACGGCTGCTGTCACTGCTGGCCTGCGTCGCCTGGAAAGTTGTGTGCTGGTTCCTTTCCAGCACCATAATTTTCCCCCGTTAAAAGCTACCTTTAAAAATGCGTGCGCTTTTTAAGTAAGCGGTTACGTTGGCCAGCGGAGTCGCGGCACACACGCAGTGTTTAGAGAATACGTGTTGGCGTTACCGATTCAAGGCTCGGTAAGCTGGAAACCTGGGGCTTTGTTTCTGGAGCGTTGTGCTCGGTGCCCGGGCCAACTCTGTATTTTGCACCTGCCTCGGAAGCGGTTTGGAATCAAATCATAATGTTTTGTTTTGGTGAGTGGAAAATGGGGCTCTCCCAGGGAAGCTCTAATGTCTTTTTGCTTTGAAATTGTGATTTCATTGTGGCTTAGCTTATGAACATTGTTTCTTACCATGGTGACTCTTTGTTTGTATATACAGGTAGCAGCAGTTAGATGAAGAGCCCACATTTCTTTTAAATGTGGAGGATAACCAAGGCACACTGCTCCGGAGTGGTTCTGTAAATGATGGTTAACATAAACATCTGTATTAAGATGACCTTCTGTTCAGAGCATCTTTTTACCCCATATCAGATGACCTTCCAGTCTTGCAACTGTTGTTGGGTTGTAGCTCTGTTCAGGAACACAACGCCTGTCTGGGCAAGCAGTTTGCCTCACGTATGATCTGTACCACCTCCCTCTCTCTTTGAAGCCTGAACTGTGCACTTCCAGGGAAGTTCATCTTTCCTAAAGCGTTTCCCCTAAATCAGAGGTAACCTAGGCCGTTAAATGTGGACCTGCATTCCAAAAGCCCCAGATGCAGGGCTTTTATAGTCACTGTTTGTGAAATGGCCATTAAAGAATGGGAGGTGAGCGTATGATGGATCCTGCGCCAGACCCTGGAAACCCTCTGACACTGCGAGTGGATGAGGTCAGCCACATTCCTCTTCCCCATTTACTTGACATTCCCTCCCTATCTAACACTCCACACCCAAAGACCTTTTGTCCTCCAAATTGCTCTTAAAGGTCGTCTTCATGCCCAATGCCCGCAAAAATCCGATAGCTGCCCCGGTGTCTTTGTCAGGTACTTAGACCATAGCGGGGCAGGCCTAGGAAAGGAACCTAGATAGGGCTGAAGTAACTAGTCATTGCTCTGCCTGGGTTTCCCAGTAAGTCCTGTCTCTGTGCCCATCTTGATCAGCACTCCTGGCTAGGTACTGCCCGTGTTTCATCTCCTTGCGTTCCAAGCTCTACATCAGCATTAACAGCATCTGGTTCAGCTGGTAAGATACTTTGGAAGGTTGGCACCATGGTTCCTGTGTGTTTGTCCAGTCCTGAAAATGCCAAATGTGCTTAAGAAATGATAGTATTAATGTGTGCCATGTAATCATAAAGACATCCCAAAGGGCCATCAGCCCAGCTGAGAGGCTGTCTCAGGGAGACTGGTGCCTGTTAGCTGCCCATGGCTATTTTGAGGTTGTTCTGGGACATAGGTATGAACTTTAATCCGAGGAAGGCCTTGTTAGCCCCATGTGGCAGGTTCCCTTTCTTGGATTGCATCAGGTGTTGTGGGACACCTGGGAGCACATCTCTACAAGCAACATGATGGTTGTCTGGAGCCTGGTTCCTGATAGCTCTGCCTTCCCATCATCTAGAAGCAGAAGGGAAAGTAAAATGCTCTATCATTTTCCTGTGTTCTCCCCTCGTCTATCATTGCTTAATTATATTCCTAAATCTTATTAAAGGTTGAGGTGAGTCATCGCCATGGTGAGTTGGAAACAGAGCTGAGCAAATTTAAGAGAGGAGGAGTGTCTTCCCATGTGAGCGTGCTGAGCAGGAAAACTCCCGCAGCAGAGAGAAACTCCTATCACTTCATAGATGTGTTGCATCATCTGCCTGCTGCTGCCTCTAATTTAATGCTCTAAATCCCATATCAAAACACCTGTAGTCCAAAGAGAATATAAAATAGACTTGGAGTAGGAAATTCATGCCAATTAGACATGCAGATCTCTCTTAATCATCTGGGACCTTCTTCCAAGCTTACACAGGACTTATAATTGTGGTTCTATATTGTCTTGTTGCATTGACTATCCACAGAACCCACTTCCCTCTCCACCACCAGAATAAAGTTGTGGGCTTAATCCAAGGTGGTTGTGCTTCAGTCTCCTAATGTATTTCATTTGTGGCCACAGTGGTTCAATCTTGTAGAACACGGTATGATCTCTTGTAGAACTGTAAAGCCATTGTCACTGGACAGATAATTTCCTTGTAATGAACTGGAAGACCTCCTCTGCTTTACTGTGTAGGCACCAGCCTAATCCCTTGCACTTGCTGTTCAGGTTTCTGATGCAAATTCAAAGAAATTCTTCTTTCTGAGGCTATGTTTTCCATCACATCCCAGGCTCCTGCTCCTCATAACTCCAGTGGTTTGATGTGCCTCTCTGCCATTCTGGCACGGCTGGGAACATGCTGATGAAGGCAGGGCAGGCACATTTCAGGGTGGTGGAGAGAGCTCTGGACGTGGGTGTGTGTTCCATCATGGGATTAGGAGCACAAAATCCCAGAGTAGTTGGGACTGGGAGGGACCACTGGAGATCATCTAGTCCAACCTCCCTGCTCAAAGGATCTGCCTCCTCAGACAGTTTTAATAAGACAGGGTTATGGCTCTTCATCTCCCTTTTCACATCACTGAATCAGTCCCTTTGGTATCCTGTGGCAGGACAGTAGGTTGTGCCATGTTCCTTCTTGCATAGGTGAGATTCTGTTATCGGCTTGCTCTTTGCTCCTGTGCACCTGCTAGCATAGAGGGTGTGAATCCTGCTTGGTGATCGCTTCGGCACAGAGGTTTCTACTGTGATAGGATGAGGGGGAATGGCTTCAAACTGGAAGAGGGGAGATTTAGATTAGATATTAGGAAGAATATTTTCACTCTGAGGGCGGTGAGCCCCTGGGGCAGGTTGCCCCGAGAAGCTGTGGCTGCCCCATCCCTGGAGGTGTTCAAGGCCAGGTTGGACGGGGCTTGGAGCAACCTGGGCTGGGGGGAGGTGTCCCTGCCCAGGGCAGGGGGTGGTACTGGATGATCTTCAAGGTCCCTTCCAACCCAAACCATTCTATGATTCTGTGAAACCTACATCAAGGTGGTCTGTCTGCACCCACTTCAGAATACGTTTTTTCATCAACTGCCCTCCTAATTAGAGCATTTGCTGGGAGCGGTACAGTTGCAGTGTCCCTGGTTTAGTAATTTACTGCTTTGTTTTTCTTAGCAGCTTTTAGGTAATATACTTGTAGCCTCTTTTGCAGAGTTTAATTATTAAAATGAAAATCTGTCGTCACGTCAGTGAGCGTTGAAGCCCCATCCTGAAAGAAAGGTGGGTGCAAAACTTAGCCCTTCGTTAATGAAAGGAAAGAAGCTGCAAGTTGATGGGCTGAACAGGAGCATGGCATCCACCAGGAATGTGGATCGGGAGGTGAATGGGCATCGCTTTGACCATCCAGTGATGTACCTGGTCGCATTAAGTCCTGTATTAAATATGTCTGTAAAAGTAAGGAGAGCCTTGGGTCCATCTGACTTGGCTTCTCCAGCTGGAATGTCTGAGGCTCAGCTACAGGGAGTTAGTGGGATATTTAATTTCATTTCATCACAACAGAGTGATGACAGGAGAGCGTAAGAAAATGTTGTATTCGGTGTTTCCTCCCTTCTTCCGTGTTCTTCTTGAGAATGTTGATGGGTTTATCTTCTATAAAATAGGGATTGTAGTACCCACAAGTTGTTCTGACTTGCTGAGCTTCACCTGGTGTGGGTGGTCTGGGACCAACCAATAATGGTGCACAAATTGAAGGTGTTTAGAGCTGGTTAAGCCAAGGAAGGTTTCTAGACTGGGTTGCAAGAGACGTCTTTTGTGAAAGGGTGGGACACCAAGGGCAGTATGTAAGTCATCTAAGCCCCAGAGAGTTTTGTTAGGCAAATGCAAAATTTATTTTTGTTCATCAGATATTGCCTGGATAATGATCTCTCAGTTATTAATGGAGCAAATGAGGGAAGGACAGCCAAGAAATGCCAGGGCTCTTTGGAAATGGAGGTAAATCTGCCATCCAAGAGGAAGCTAAGAAGTTCACGTTGGATTAAAGAAGACAGCAATGCTCCAAATGAAAAGAAAGGCCAGGAAAACACTGCTGGATGTAATCAGGTGCTTAATAATGCATAAAATTACAGAATCACAGAATAATTGAAGTTGGAAGCAACCTCTGGATATCATCTGGTCCAACCCCCTGCTAAATGCAGGGTCAACTAGAGCACATTGCTCAGGACCGCTTCCTATTGGGCTTTGACTGTCTCCAGAGATGGGGAATCCACAACCTCTCTGGACAACCTGTTCCAGTGTTTGACCACCCTCACGGTAAAAAGGGTTTTTCTTATGTTTAAATGGAGTTTCCTGGATTTCAGTTTGGGCCCTTTGCCTCTTTTCACTGGGCACCATGTGGAAAGCCTGGCTCCCCGGCTCTGTCGTCTTTACCCCCTCTCCTGTCGGGTGTTGATGCACGTTGATAAGATTCACACCCTTCCCCACCCCGAGCCTTCTCTGCTCGGGGCTAAGCAGTCTGACAGAGTACGGGAGTGGGGACTGTGGTAGGATGCTGAACTAATGTTACTGGGCAGATACTGGTAATCTAAAGGCAACCTGAATGCTACCCTGAGTAAATGGTGATGTTCAAGTAATACGGAATAGGACAAATGAGCTTTCTTGCTTTTCCCATTCTTCCTTTTCTGTATCCTTTTTTCCTTTAGTACCTTTATGCCTGTTTTCTTGGCGTTAGTCCCAGATGTCTTCTGGGAATAGTTATCTCTGGGTCTTTTATCTCTGTGTTTGTCATTTAGTGTGATCCTGGCAGTCCCAAAAGCCAAGATATTTATGGTGAGTGAGTTCAGGTTGGTGCTGAGTTGCTTCCCGTGACCTGCGGTGATGAGCAGAATCACTTTGGGTACAGCCTTGGATCAAATTTTGAACTGGAGGTGAACTTTTATACATGTTCAGTATAGTTGGAGAATGGTGTTTCTCATTTTGAAAAAAAAAGAAACTTGCATATCCTCGGTTTTGAGGAAGACGGTTGCCTAAATAAGGAAGTCCTGGATATTCAGAGAGCAGCTGTCTCTGTTCCAGCCCCAAGAAGTCAGAGCGCAGTTTGTTTAGACCATAGACAAACGTTCAGGCCTATGGATCTGTGTCTGACACAACTGGACCATCTCCTGCTTGGTGAATGTGTGTCCCCCAGGATGGGTTGTAAAAGCTCTCTTGTGGGTTTTCCCTGTTGGCTAGTTGGTTAGAAAAGCACGCCTGTTCGTGTGTACCTGACATCACCTGTATTAATGTGTTTGATACCTAAGTGCTAAAACTAGCTGAATGTGTAAATACTACTAAACCTGTTAATTTTGCTCATGCCAATTAATATATTGGGGGTTCAGGGAAGAGGGAAGGTTGGTTTTGGTTCTGCTTGTAGTTGCTTTAAAGCTAAGCATTTGGTCACTTACCTTTACTAAGCTCTTTTAAATTTATTTTCTACATTTGTTTTGGAAATGAGAACCCCTTGAATTAGTCGCATGTGAAAACTTCCATCATTGCTCTTATCGATGTGTCATATCTCCTACCAAGAGAGATTTGTTAAAACTTGTCTTGGATTCAATTTGGCTGTCCTGTCAAACCATTTGAAAGCGCAGAGTCCGTTTCCCTGTACTTCTGTAAAATAACAGAAGTAAGGGATCTGGATTCTACAGAAAACAAACAAAAAGAAAATCTGGATCTCATTTAAGTAAAAAGGAATGACCAGTTTCTCATGCATGAGGATGTCATTCCCAAACTCTTTGCATGGTGTTACATCTACCTACCCCTGTTTTTATTGCGGTAGCCCAAAATTACTGAGTATGCATGCATAGAAAAGAAGCCAGTGTTTAAACATCAGAAGTTATGTGTCTGAACGACTGGAATTTGAAGCTTTGCTGATGCTTCACAAGAGGTTTGAGTTGTATGCTTTTCAAAGGCTGAAGACACTGAGTTTCTTCCCTCTGTTTTCCTCGCAGGTGTGTTACTAGACATCCAGCAGCACTTTGGAGTCAAAGACAGCGGGGCCGGCTTGTTACAGACAGGTAAGAGTATTTGTTTTCTCGTGGGTTTTTGTAACCTTCCTCTTCTCAGAAGGATGCCTTCGGACTTCTTCAGTTACAGCCCTTGGGCACGTTGGCTGTGAAATATACTCTGAATAGGAAGATGAGTGAACACGAGGGGGTTTTTGGTTGTGATTTGCTGGTGGGCAGGAGATCAGAGCTCAGAATGACTTGAGTGCAGAATGGGCCAAAACCAAGCAAACCTAATGATATTCTTTATGACAATTAAATTCACATCGGAGATGGCTACTTCCCCTAGATCAGAAAACTCGTGATAAACCAACAGCAGGATCCTGTTGTTCTCACTTCTCTTAACTCTCCGCAGGTTGGTAATAAGTGTGATGTATGATGCCCTTCATGTGCTCTGCAGAGAATCTGCTGAATGTACAGTAATTGGGAGTACAGTGTGGCATGAAAATGTAAAACTCATCAGGACAAGTACCTGAGGATGAAAACTGCAGGAAGGGCTTACAATCATTGCATTCATGGTAGCTCACGGATTAACAATATCCCTGTGATTTTGGTGCTGTTAGCTTCAGACGTTTCTCTCCTCGTATTTAGGGAAGAAGGATTATTGCAATTGCGATGTCCTTTTAACGTAGCAGACGTTTTAATGTTGCAGATATCTGCAGGCAGAGCTGTACAACCCCGGGACGAACCCAGCGTTTCTGGCCTCTAGTGCTGAGGTGGTTTAGCGGAACGCCTTGGTCAATGGGCTGGGTTTGGTGACCTTGAGTCGCAGTCGCGCGTAGCTGTGACAGCACTTTTGGTCTTTACGGAGAGTTGAAAGGACTAGCCAGAGAGCAAATGCAGTATTTTAAGGAGAGACACAGTCAAGTTTGGAAACTTTCTACAGAATTATTAGTTGGGGTCATAGATTTGTGGTGCTGTGGTTATCTTGTCACTGTCATCTGTCTGAGGGAACCACACTGGAACAATTATATCTCTGAAAAAATTAGAATTCAATTAGGATTAGAAATAGTGTGCCAGAAAGACATATTTTTTTCTTCTATCCTTTTTTTCTTATCCTGTCACCAAGTGCCCATCAGGAGCTTGTCCGTGAAGCTGTAGCTAACAATACAGTGTACAAAATTATTCATATATGATCACACTAGAGGTGAGAATGTTCTGGAGCTCTGTCAGTTGGCCTTTGGTTTCAAACTGTGTGAACCACTGCAGTATCTCCTCCTTTTTATTTTCTGCAGCCCGTGGTACAGCGGGGTCCTCATCTGTGGTTATGGCTTCTCGGTAATGTTGCCATACAAACGATGAAGAACAGTTTCTATTAGGGCTTTAAAAATGCTCTCCTTGTGGGACAGCGGAGTTCAGCTACGCTGGTGTGTGCAGCACATGTCCAGAACAGAAGGCCTGAGCTTTACAAGTGTTACTGAATATAAGTAGCATCAATCAGTTGTGCCCAAAGTGGCACTAGTTGTCTGTCAGACTCTTTTCTACAGCAGTTATTTGTATTTATTTATTGTACTCAGAGGAACAGGTCCTCAATGTATCATTAGACACAAAGTGCCTTCAAGAAAATATTCTGGTAGCAAACGACACTTGCCAAAGCATATATTTAATCTTCATTCCCCTCAGTGGATGAAGTCCTTGTGCAGATGATTTACTGACAGCAAGTAAGAGCTAAGCTCCAACAGGGCATTTCATTTGTTAATTGCAAGAAATGTTATTTATTTCTCCAGCAAACACACAGGACATCTGAAAACAGCATCACTGAGATATTGCAACATTGCTGCTGAGTGTGTCATGGGTTTTGTAACTGATAGCTGTTGCTTTAAGAAAAGCAACATTTTCTCTTGGTTTTTTTTTTTGTTTTTTTTTTGTTTTTTTTCTGATCTGAAAACTGAGGGCTTGACTTTGCCCCTGAAATATAGATAATAAGGTATTAATCACAATGCCATCACAGGAACAGGGTTCTCACAAAATAAAACGCCGTTTCATGTAAGTAAGGGTAGGGGCACATAACTGAGAACTTATTAATTGTATTACTTCAGCTTAACAAGTTTCTGTGTTGGCAGCCGGCCCATGGCCCGTGTACCCTTAACCCCCGTGAAATAAACCACGCTGCCCTAAACCGCCATAAACACCACTTTTCATCTTTTGTCTGTTCTCTCAGTCTGACCTCTCCAGAAGCGTAAATTGGGGAAAATGGATGCAGAGCGTAAAAGCGTTTGGCCGAGGTTGCAGAGGACACCTATAGCAGAGCTGGGACCAGGACTGATGTCTCCCAGACCTCTGCCTTAACCTTGAACAGTTCCTTTGCAAGCAGAGAGACGGAAATATCATTTTATTCCCAAGAGATGGTCCTGCTAACTAATTGAGTGATGTGAGACGAAAGGCTGCTCATCCTGAATATGTCCTCTGAATAAAGAGTGGATTAGTCCTCAGGTTGTTAATCCTGCATCTAAATGAGTCCTAAATTAATTTACAATGTTAATGAGGGGGAGTGAAATGTAGTAGTCACTGGCAGTTCATATTGCTCATCAAACAGGCTTTAAAAAATAATAAAAAAAAAATCCTTTCAACTGAGAAACAAGGCTGCACACAGTTCTAGGAAGAGATGGTGCTGAAAGCTCAAACAGAAAGGGGAAAAGAAATCCACCAAAGGCAATGTATGACCCTGCATTCATACCATAACCCGTTCTTTGCAGGCACAGCCAATCTCAGCTCTCTCACTCCAAACATTCAAACGCCAACTCATAAGCTCTCAGCTTCTGCTGCTCTCTGGAAAGCAAAGGGGACTGGTTTCTTAGGAATTGCAAAGACAGAATTTGAATTTTTGTCATCTTTTATATTAATCCCAAGATAGAAGCTGCTCTTTGCCTAAGAGATGTAGTGAAAACTGGTTAGAGGGGCACTGTAACTCCCATACAGAAAAATCGTAGGGACGCTCCAGCCTCATCCATAATGGAAAGGAGCAGAACGTGGTAGTCTCTGCAGCAAGGACCCCGTGACAGCAAAGGACACACTGACAGATGGATCGCAACTGCTGCTCGCTCAGTAGCATTGCAGAGTAACAGGCTTATAACTATGTTGATTCCAGAGCCTCAGTTATCTCTTGATGATGCTATAATTCTGTGCTGATCTTCCTTTTTAAAGCACTACATATGCAGCTATATAAATATCAGTTCAGTTCACTTAACTGTCCTACAGGTCTGCATCCAAGCGCTCTCGTGCTTTTCCTTTCTTACTGGATGCTTTCCCCAGCTGGAGAAAGGATAATCCTGGCTGGTCTCAGAAGGGGATGGAGCATCTCCTTGCCTACCTGAGCTGTACAGCTGTTATCAGTCGATACATTTATAAGCCAAACCATACAAAAACTCTTTCCTAGTTAGGTAGGAGCAGCAATTTGGACTCACCAAAACGACAGTCCTCTAAAACCACAAAGAGTGAGAAGATGGACAACTGGGTTTGTAGAACCGCTTCAAAATAGCGTTATCCTTCCATGTATACTTAGACAACAGGGGTAGGGCTCCTTTGCTGTACTCTGGTTTTCACTAATTTTTTTTCCTCTTCTTTCTTCAATTTTTGTGCTTTATTGCTCTGTCTGCTTTCCTTGCCCTTGGATTTATGTTGCTTTTGTGTCTCTTGCCAGTGTCTATTTAGCACAACAGAGCTCTAATAATAACGGTGCCTGGCTCTCAGTACAGTTTGTCTTCTGTAGATCTTGGGATGTTTTTTATCGGGAGGGATAATGAGTCTTGCCCTTTTCTACAGATGGGGAAACCAAGAAAGGCAGATGGGAGAAATGACCTGCCCAAAGTCACACAGCGGATCTGAGGCTGAGCCAGAGTGAGAACTGCAGTCCGGTTCCTGAACGCGCAGCATTCAGAGATTTGGTCCTTGTTAATGGGCACCTTAATCTTCTAGCCTAGGCAGCTCAGGGGAAGGCACATAAAACAGTGGGGACTTCTGCAAGCAGAAACTGTGAGGCATTGAATGGAGGGCATGGCAAGGATTCCATTGAAATGCAGAGGAGAAGGGTGTCTGTCTTCAGAAGGAGCACAGGGATGTCATTAGAGCAAACCCTGGTAATCAAAAGTTATACCATAAGGTCAGAAGCAAGCTTTAAGGGAAGCGAGAGATCTGGAAGGACTCATTAAAGGTGAATAATTGTAGATAACTGGGGCTCTGAAAGAGCTTGTCTCTTCTCACGTGGAGAGAGATGGGCATTCTCCCAAATGCCTTTCAGCCCCTGGTTTCCCAGGAAGTCTGGCAATGCCAGGTACTTTCTTAAGTGTTTTTGTGGGCTCATTTTTCCTGTAAGGGTCAATTCCAACTAAAACCTCTGTTCATTTGAAAAGTGAAACCTTTATCTACCTGAGTTCTCCCACCTCTTGAGCTGACCTGGTGTAACCTCACACTAGATTGCGGCCTTGCAAAGATGTTAGCAGCTCCGGTGTGCCGTGATTGTATCAGCCAAGCTATAGGCACGTGAAGCGAGTAGAGGACTTGAAACAGTAGAGTGCAATGACAGGATAAATCAGACTTGCTAAATTGAAGGCTTTTCTTTCAACTCCCTTTGACTCCCATCTTCTTGTCATTGGCTTATGATGACAGCCTGTCAGCTCTAGCATTTTTTATTTGTTCCATGCAGAGCCCACTGCCCCTGGATGAGATGCTAACCTTGAATATGTGTGCATTACATGAGTTGCAGGTGCCACGTGTTTCTTTTCTACCATCTGCTTCTACCTGAATAGAAACTGTCTTGCTCCTCATCTGTGCTATGCATAACTGAATCAAATCTTTCACTTCCTACTGCACCTGCTTAACTGTTCTTCTTGCTAGAACAGAGGAACTCATATTCTGGATGCCTTCCTGTTTTCCATTTAAAATTCATGGGCTTTCCTTTTGAGGGAATGACTTCTTACACCAGAGCGCCTCCCAAGGCCCTGGTATCTCAGGTGTCCAAGCCAGAAGGCAAGACAGAATGCTTTGTAGTTGCTCTTCTTGATTTATGACCACCG